TCAAAAAAGGCATGACTCCCGAAGAGTTGAGCAATGATAAACTGGACATGATTAGGCGTAGTAATTTTATTAAGAGATTTTATTGGTGGATCAAGTTTTTTAGATATACTTTTTTTAATATGCAATCTCTTGCGTAAATGCGCTGGGAAAAAGGTTTATTTTATATTGTATGCCTACTACGCGCGAAAAGAGAATTTAACCCAATTTAATAAAAATTACATTGCTTTATTAATTATTATGTGTATTTGTCATAACTACATTTTTCATAATTACGTTGCTCGTAGATGCCTAATTGTTGAAATAACAATACATGACGTGTTAACAGTGTGAAATCGGTATTATGAATACTAATAAAGTACCAAGAAATTTGCTGTTTATTGCTAAGATCATCTATCGATATGCTTACCCCGCTAGTATTTCTTTTTTCAAATTAATGAGAAAAAAGGTGGCCCCTATTCGTGCTCCATACAAATCTACTAACGATCCGTAAATGGAAATTTGTTTTATTATGTAGAATGTGGCCAAAGGCATCCCCTTACATTTCATAGGATGAAGATCTGTAAATCGGTAGATTAAGAGGCGCAATTTCCATTCTTGTCTCATTCTAACAACCGGAACATTGCGTGACACCAATTCAAAGGATCGTAATATATGTATTATGCCAGAACCTTCCGGAAAAAAAGTCAAACATCATCATGCACAGCGCCTTAGGCCCGGATTAATTATTTATTGATCTAGACCCACAATCTACTTCCCCATAAATTTGCAAAAATATGACGGTATTTCATGAGATCTTGGCCCTGGCTTCATTGTTACAAAAATAGCATATATTTTCCATTATTACGAAAATAGCACATCTAAAAATAAAAACACTGCGGAAATAGCATAAACGAATTCTTTCTGCGCATTTCAGGTGATCGATCTCACATGATGAAGTTACTCTACTGCGCATAGCATATTCTGCGGATATAATTCACATGAACCAATGACGCCTTACTGCGGGGCGCCAAAAGATGACGTTTACATGCTATAAGCCACCCACGTTATTCGAAAAAAAGAAAGAAACTATACGGCAATTTAGTCTATGCGAATATGCAATTCATCCTAGGGGGAGGTTTTTCTTTCGTATCTTCCATCACGATAATAATAGCTTCTATCACATTCACCATATTCATTATATCCATCGTATCCATTATATCCATCATCACATGATGTGGCGTAAAGTTCAGATAATTCTGGAATATCTGGAACATTCGCGATTTTTTTACATAAAAAGGACGACTTCTTACGTGTTTGTTCTGTGTTTCCTGTCTTCCTGTCTTCCCAACAAAATGAGTGTCGCGACAGAAGGCCTAGAAGAAATACAAATTAAGGTGACCCGGGAAACCAAGCAAGCCTCATTAATTAATCAGGTATTTTTTTTAGATCGTTTATCAAAAATTGAGTGACGACTACAATACACACAACAATAGGTATTAACGTATATTGAGGAATCATTGAAAAAATTGACACCTGAGGAAAAACAAGATGTCGTAAAGATCGATCTTTCTGCTTACAAATTGGATAATGTTGTTGTACGTGAAACAATACATGATAATTATAAAGCTGAGATAATTGGAGAACACATGTTCATTAAAGTAAGTTTAAATTGGTAAAAGCGACTTCTTTACTGTAATATAATTTAATTTCGCCGTTGGTTTATGTAGTATGATAGTAAAAAAAAGGAAAAGATTCATCGCAGATTAGCAAATTCTGCTGAAGATCATAATCAAAATTGGGATGTAGATGCAAACGGAATGTGTACAGATAATAATGGTAATGAATTTCTGCCAGATGTCGGCGTGTGGTTCCAAATGCCGACCCAAGCACAACAGACAAGGCCTATTGCTGAACAATGTCCCCTCCCAGACGTATGGGTAGAGGTAAATGTATTAAATTTTGCTGGAAAAATATACGATTTAACTTATAAGATTCGGTTTCTATAATAATCAGGTTTTCTATAATAGAGACCCAGATCGCAGTAGAGCTTTAACTAACATTGCTTTCGTCCAACAACAAAACTTGGGTATTGAATTCATTGGGATTGCCCTCCCTTATTCAACAAACACTTTCCAGCAAAATCCAAATCCTGGGATAGCTACGACACCTGCAAATCCTCTAGCAAACCAAAACGCAAGACCTTTCATAGCACCGTACATTATTCATTGGGACATGAATAATGTTCCAGTTTACTACAGAATTAATTGGAATGAGCACCTTGTCCTTAGATGTGGTTGGGTCCTTGAGTTTAATATCGTTCTTAATGTACTTGCAATGTAATCGTTAATATTATTTTTAAAGCCTTCTATCTTTTTTTCTGATGCTTATATTATTAGAAATGTACTCATTTTATTGTAAAGTATAAAAAAAAGGTAGTAAAAATCATATGCGCAAATTATGCTAATAAAAATTATACCTAAATCTTAAAAGAACAGTTATGCAATATACGATAGAGTAAAACAAGTTTGAAATTTCCAATCTAAATTATTATGAAATGTATTGTAATAAATAAATACAACGCATCCCATGATGTCATTGTCGAGCATTCCCAAGCTCCGTAAATTCTTTATCCGTGACGATATTATCACCAAGACTTTTAAGATGTTGTAAGTGATTTAGGCATATGCAAGAATGCACTTTGGCCTGACACCTACATCTGTCCGTCTATTGTTTTATAGCGTACGAATTCTACAGAAAAAACGATCCTACTCCTTGAAGATCGAGGTGATTAGCGTGGAGAATTTCGTTAGCACAGCCTCGGCAAGAATTTTTCTGATATCGTACAAGTGATCTGTCCACATGATCGAACTATGATACGATTGCAAACTTAAGTTTTTTGCTTGAAGTGTTGCAGGTAAGACAATATTCTGTTCCATTTTTATACCATTCGCCATGTAATCCATAATTCCCATGTTTTCCATCACAAATAGGGCATGGTGAGCTCCACGGCTGAGGTGATGCAAAATTATAATTATCAATCCCTCTGAAACTATTTCGGAATTTCAAGTATGGGAAGTGCTCTAATTTCAATAGCATTGTGAACAACTAATTATGTGAGCATGCGAAGCCCTGCGTTATATGATGTTAATAAAAAATTTTCTAACTACTAGTAATATATATAAGTTACTCTCCCAATAAAATGTAGCTTTAAAGGATGTTTTATTCAATGCTTTATTTTTACATATAGTTCATAGTACTTTTTACATTTTTTACTCTTGATAAATACAATAAAAAAGCTAACTGTTACATTAATAGCAATTATATTAGTAGAAAATCTATTTGTTACAATTATTTGTTAATACATTTAACGTTAGGCAGTTTTTATGGTTTATCACCAACTGCGACAACTCTTATAATGTGGTTGGCGCCTTTGGGAAATTTAATACCATGTTCCCATTCCTTTGGGATATCAATAATGGAAGGGACTTTTGGGACGTATAAAATTCAGACTAATTCACACCTATAATCAGCTACTTCGTCACCTTTACTGTTCAATGCTTCAATAGTGAACCCAAGTGTTGCAAGCCTAATCAGTAGTTGTCGATAACCATGACGTAGGTTCTTGACCGTTAGTTTGATTTCACCTATCTCGATTGAAACAATTTTCATATCAAGATAACTTGTTGGCCTTCCACGAACGTCCAATTCAAGAACTTCGTAGAATGGTGCCTAAAAAATTATATATAACAAACAAGAGTTAGTATATTTTATAACAATTTCAAATTACACTCTCAAAAGTGTATATATAAATACATGATCATTCTCTATGGCTATTTTTGGATCCATGATATACGAAGTGATCAACATCACACCCAAGGATCTTGTATTTGCGAGAAATAGACGATTTTCTGACGAACTATACTCTAATTAGCAAAATTAAGTTAAATTTTGATTTACTATCAAACTTTAGTCTAAATAAACTTACTCTCTTGATAAGCTTCCCAGACATTGAGAGATTTTTCCGCTCTATTAGCGAGGGCATTGAGATTTATAATAAAATTATTGTCTTGAGGTAACGAACGAATATAATTTATTGATTCTTTAAGTTTCATTTTCATATTTATATTCTGTTCAAGAAGTGCAAAAAATTATGGTAAATAAGAATCATGTGTAAAAACCATCTCATAATAATTATATTCACTTACATAAATATAGTCTGAAACTTTGTCAGCACGGTATACTTGAACATATATCGGAGTTTCAAATTTTGGTTTTTCATTGGAGAGTTTTTTTCGTGGTAAAGAAAGTCGTACAAGACCATTAAGATCTGATATTTCAAACTTAGAAGAGTATTGGGAACTGCTTATTTTAGCAATTTCAAGCTGAGCGGATGCTTCATAAACGCTTCCAAAGTCAGATCTCATAAGATCCATTTTGTCATCAAGATTTTTCAGTGCACTATTCAGATCTGCACATATAGTTTAATAAAGGAAAAGGTTATTAGAAGCAATGGATCAAAAAATCAAGTCAGGATAGTTCACTCGCGTTGACCAAAATTATTACGGCTCACTTACCAATACCGGGTTGCTCTAAGATAACGCGAATGTGTTTTTTGGGCGGGTTTGACGATAAAAAGCAGGAAAGAAAAGCACAAGATCAAGTAAGTATTTTGTATTATTGACAAATATGACAGAGAAAGGAAAAAATAAAGCTAAAAGCTAAGCCACATTATTCTTATACTTCGATAGAAAGAACTTACCAGGCTTCAAGAAAGTTCTAAGATAAGTAAGTTTACTTTTATCCGTATCAAAACAATTAAGATCTGACAACGCATCATCTTGCTGATCTTTATGCTTAGTGAAGTAGGAAAGTAATTCAGCCTTCTCTCCTTGATTCTCAACGAGACGAACAATTTCCGTTTTAATGTTTATTGTAGAACCAGAAGCGGACATACTGTAAGATTTGGATGAAAGAGTATTACAAAGAGAGTAGCACGAATAGTGCACAAATGAATGAACTGGGAAAAGATTTTTGGGGATTTGTCGGTTATATATTAGAAATCAATTGTCACACAAATTGATCTGACTCATCAGTCGATCAGTTACGCAACTGAATACAGATATCTGTCACACCAGATTACAAAAATCATGCTTCATATAAAAAAAGTGCTAAACTTTGAGATCGTGACGCGCGTCACAGTCTCGGGATTTCATAGTTTTTAGATATCAGGTGATAAGCGAGAATATTTATTAATGAGCGATGAAAAAACTAAATACAATAGCTTGTTATACACGATAATAATAAGATTTATAAATTATGCTATTATTGCGAACTTGAGTTTATTGCTTGAAGTGTTGCAGGTAAGACAATATTCCAACTTATCTTGAGAATAGAACTTCGCCAATTCAGGATCATAAGGGAGCCGATTCCCATTTTCGCAGTACCATGAGCCATGTAATCCATAATTCCCATGTTTTCCATCACAAATAGGGCATGGTGAGCTCCACGGCTGAGGTGATGTAAAATTATAATTATCAATCCCTCTAAAACTATTTCCGAATTTCAAGTATGGGAAGTGCTCTAAGACGGATTTGATAATTAATTCTGGATTGGGTCTGGCTTCGAAAGTGATAANTACTTTGTAGAGAATAAGTTTACTTGGATCGATATGTTGGAATCGGTTTGGCCACCACTTTCTGATCATTGGTTTGAGCTGGTTGACCAGCTTATCTTCAGATATCTCTAACGTGAAAATATCTTCGAATTCATCACCAGGAATAATGCAATTAAGGCTTAAAATATTATTACTGTTGCTGGTAGTCATCTTGCTTTCCTAAATACAAGGCCCATAGTGAGAAAAACTCGCTCGGTCCCTCTAGGACCCTACCATACATACATAATTTAGGGCATATACATACCTTATTTTGCGTTAGCTACGCTAGTGAAACTATTTTCTCTGGGAAAGTTTTTTGAGGAAAGTTGGCTGAACTTCTACATACTCCTACATGCTTTATATCTGGCTGGGAAAAAAGAGCGCCAAGCCGAAGTTAAGGAGATAAGAATAGTGATTAGCATTGTCGTATGATGCCAAGAGTTCTATGAAGGCACATGCAAATAGAATTCTCATACCTTTTCACATGTAGATCTACCGGAAAGACATAGTTGGTTTTACGCCTGGCGATCTCGGAATTGCGTATCCCTCAGCCTTTCATAACATATGCTTTTGTCGTCACTATTTACTTTTAGAGTTGGTCCTGTGTTGCATGTAGACCTCCTTTCAAGCGAAGCGCCTGTGAAGCAGGCCATTTTCTCACATTTGTTCGGGAAAAAAATATAGGTACTAGTTAGTATGTTTTCTTTTTCGAATATATATGCAAAAATTAATATGTCGCACAAGACCTGACTGATGATCCACTTATTTTTCTGTCGCACAGGAGTGGCCCAGCAAATTCTTCTGAGCTGAAGATCACCGCTCCGGATTAGTAAGATCAGTAGAGTTTCACCATTCTGCTTGATCGTCGAGTAATGCTACCGAATAATTCCTTGGCGCTTGTCTGATTATAGCTATAGTGGAGTGATCGGCACCAGAGTCCACAGTCATAGATATATTGGAGTTATCAACACTATACCGGGTGTTATATAACCGACCACCACTCAGGAGCGATGGTCTAGCTAGAATACGGCGTTCACTCAATCTCCTTGATAATTCGTCGTTGATAAAATTTTTTAAGGATGCAACATCTCTTGGTGTATTATGTGGTATTCCCAGTTGCCTTGCGAGTTGATGGATCGGATCTAGGGGATGTACCCGAATCGGCACGAAATTCTCAACATGGATATTTGGACTAAGCGAGGAAACCAGCTGATCTACG